CAGTACGCCGGTGTGCTCGTCGGCTTATCTCACTGCCGTCATTATCTTCCGGAAGGGGTCATCAAAGTGCTAGTATCAGCACTTGTACTGTCGCGGATCAGCTATTGTCTTACTGTTTACGGAAATGGTTCGCAGCGAAATTTTGACAGACTCACCAAAATTCTCAATTTCGCGCTGAGGGTGATTTTTGGCCGTCGAAAATTCGACCATGTTTCCCGGCTCCGCGAGCAGTTGCGTTGGATGACGCCTCGCCAGATGGTACAGGCTCAGACGTTGGAACTGATGCACAGGGTGCTGCGGCGGGGTGAACCAGACTCGCTGGTTAACTCCTTTACCCGATGCTGTGACACTCGCATGAGAAGTACGCGACAGGACCACCTCTTCCGTCTACCCAGGCCGAGGACAGAGGCCGGGAGGCGTCGCTTCGCCTATAGAGCGCCAGACCTCTACAACTCGCTGCCTGCCGGAACCACCGAGCTGTCTCACCAGCGTTTCGTCCGAGCAGTGAGAGCCCATGTTTTGACCTTGTGAGACCGTCCGTGCGTATGGGTCGTGGGATTTGGTCCGGGCTGTGAGCTGTGTGATTGTTTTTATTGACTTGGGGCAATAAAAGCCACGACTGATTGTGGACTGCCCTGCAAATGTAATACATACATACATACATACATACAGTGTATCGTCGCTCTCCAGTCTTGTCCTCACTATGCTCAGAGCTTCGGTAGTGGGCACATTGGTGAACAGACTCACCACATCGAAGCTTACCATTTGCATGTTCGGCGAAGGTCGCATGGCCTGAACCAGTGAGACGAAGTGGGCTGAGTTCTTGACATATGTAGGTGTTTTGCCACTCAGTGGGTTGCTGATCTTGACGAGGAAGTATGTCTTGAAGTATGTCATACTTCCAGCAGACAAAGGAAACACCACCGTTGTCATGGACAAGAAGGAATACGACCACAAGATGAACAGCATTGTGACAGATGGATCGTACACCAAACTGAAGAAAGACCCAACCCCGGCCTGTGAACGCAAACTAACAAAGCTCCTTAAGAAGAACAAGGACAAGGAACAACTCACGGACGCCCAGTACAGAAAGCTGAGCCAACATCACAGCAAACTTCCACACATGTACGGGCTGCCAAAGGTACACAAGACCAATGTACCGCTAAGACCAATAGTAAGCTACCGTGGCTCAGCCTGCCATCCTCTGAGCCAGTTCTTCGTCAAGATCATCAACCCACTGAGTGGCAAAACACCTACATATGTCAAGAACTCAGCCCACTTCGTCTCACTGGTTCAGGCCATGCGACCTTCGCCGAACATGCAAATGGTAAGCTTCGATGTGGTGAGTCTGTTCACCAATGTGCCCACTACCGAAGCTCTGAGCATAGTGAGGACAAGACTGGAGAGCGACGATACACTGCCCGGAAGAACGACAATCCCGACTGATGACATCATGGAACTCCTGACATTCTGTGTCACCACCACCGCCTTCCAACTGGGCGATGACTACTACCAACAAACTGAAGGAATGGCCATGGGATCACCCCTGTCACCGGTGATCGCCAACATCTACATGGAACACGTCGAGGAACTGGCCTTACAAACAGCACCACTGAAACCATCCCTGTGGCTGCGATATGTCGACGACACATTCGTCCTGTGGGACCATTGCGAGGACATAACACCGTTCCTAGACCACCTCAACAGCCTCCGACCCTCCATCCAATTCACAATGGAAACAGAAGTCGACAACAAACTACCATTCCTTGACGTCCAAGTGGAGAAATCTGAGGAAGCATTCAGAACATCGGTCTACCGCAAACCAACAGCGACCGACCGCTACCTCAACTTCAAGTCACACCACCCAGACACAGTCAAGAAAGGTATCGTCAGATGCCTGCAGACCCGAGCCACCAACATCTGTGGAGACGAAGCAGCCAGAAAGATGGAAATGTCACGCCTTACCAGCACCTTCAGGAGAAGCGGATACCCAACGAGCTTCATGAAACACAAACCCAAGGAAGCATCCCAACAACAACCAAGGGATAAGCCCATCGCGACAGTATCCCTCCCATACAACAGAGGACTGTCAGAGAAGCTTAGGCGAATCTGCGGAGCATACAACATCAGGACGGTGTTCAGAAGTACCACCACCCTCCGCAGGTCACTCACAAAGGTCAGACCGCCAACCACCAAGGAGAAAACAAAGAACTGCATATACGACATCCCGTGCAGCTGCGGCAGGTCATACAAGGGCGAGACTGGCCGCCCACTGGCGGTCAGGCTCGAAGAACACAGGAAGGCTACCATCCGAGGCGAAACACTGAAATCCGGTGTGGCGGAGTATGCATGGTCTGAAGGAGATCACAGACCTGCTTGGGATGATACCACCATCATCGACAAGGAGCCACACTGGAAAATCAGAAAGATCAAGGAAGCCGCACACATGGCGCTGGCCAGCAACCCCATCAGCAAGCCAAGCGTTGACATCAGCCCAATATGGCTCCCACTACTAAGGAAATCACAAAAAACATCTGGGGGATAATGACACCAAGTTTCCAGCTCCATAACGATGTCTGCCTGGATAGTGGAGTGGTTAGAACCGTGGACTATCACCGGGGAAACCCGAGTCCGATTCCCGCTGACTACATGAGCTTTCGAACGGTATGACGCGTACTGCGTAACGCCACCAACATCCAGGTCCTTCTAAGGGCCAAAGAACACCTGACGACGGCCGGAGAAGTAACTGGCCGAAACGTTGTGAAACTAACATCTCAACTCAAGACGGGGACGAAAGTCCGACAACTAACATCAGTGATACTAACACCTTGTCTCAAGCATTCAGAAGAACTAACCTAACCTACTGATTTTTGCCTACCAGGCATAAAGAAACCTAACCTAACCTAACATACTGATTCTTGCCTGCCGAGGATCCTAACCTAACCTAACCTAACCTAACCTAACCTAACCTAACCTAACCTAACCTAACCTACTGATTTTTGCCTTCCGAGAATAAAGAAAGTTACTTGCAGGAATAGATTGCAGGCAATAGTAAACCAAATATTTTCAGGTTAAGTGGTTATGCATCAGGCTTCAGGCCGAAGGCCTGAAGCCAGATACTCAACCACTTAACCTAAAAATATTTGATTTACTATTGCCTGTAATCTCTCCTGAGGCATTGCCTACGGCAATGCACTGCTTCGCTCCGAGCATGGGGCAACACTTAGCCTTACAGGTTGCGCTAAAATACCATTTTCCTCCAAAAATGTTACATTCAGACATTATAAATCCGATAGCCTACAACCTTTACCACTGTTTTCTTCCTACCACGGAATATTGAAGACTGAAGTAGTGCGAAGTGATTAAAAAATAGCATAATATAACCAGAAATACCATTTATGGTGCGAACTGCGAACTGAGCTAATTTAGTACAAAAGCAACCATTTTAAGGTGCTGGAAAAATCCCGAAAAAAATACTAAGGAACTGCCGACAAAGTGCTGATGACTGTTGGAAACCTTATAAAAATTATAGGCATATTTCTTCATCATCATTATCATAGCTATAGTAATGAGTGAGCCTAAAAATGATTAGCCTGGCTATGAATTAATTATCAAATAAGTTCTACCAGCACTACCCCAGTGCTTGACCGGTACTACCAAAAAGTTTAATTGTTGTTTATAATAAAAATATTTTTGTAATGTTTGCTGAACTTGTTTTCAGCTCGTCTCCAACTCTCAGGCCTCACAACCCGGCGCTCAGGCACGCCCACAGCTGACTGGCCGGGCGCAGCCGGCCGCGCCCGGTGACCGGGCGCACCGCCTCAGGGCGGATGACGTCACGCAAACGGGGTGCGGTCTGGCGGGCCGCACCACGCCGCGGCCGCTAAGCCGAGCGCATAGCACAGAACGCTACAATTTTCTTTTCAAATATCACCGTCTTTGAAAATAATCACCCCTCCCCCACCCAAAACCCCGATTCCCTACACTTCCCCTAGTGTGTTGGGCTAAAAAAAGAGTACCAGCACTTCCTACCAGTACTTGACCAGCACTACCTCATTAAATGCAAACGTTGAATTGTTGTTCATAACAATTTTTTTTCAAATATCACCGTCATGTGAAAATATTCCCCCATCCCCCACCCAAAACCCCGATTCCCCACATTTTCCCTAGTGTGTTGGGCTAAAAAAGGGTACTATATTTCCGCGTAGATGTTTCGCAACAGCTGACTGCAGGTTCTCACGACAGCTGGCATGTTGAAAACAAACGCGACTGGAAATCGTGGCGAGATCACGGTAAGTTAGTTATAGCTGGAAATTATTCGTCAGATTAACTGCATGACACAGTATTGTTACTAAACACGAGTTTCTCTATAGAATGATGTCTATATTATAGGAATTAACTAATGTCTGAACCGGGACAGGTGGGCAGTGTGACCTTCCGTCCGCAGTGACATCCGTCACTGCGGACGGATGTCACTGCGGACTGTTTTAGGCTGCGGCGGCACGAGCACTTGCACTCTTGTATCACTTTCACTATCCATGGTGTGGGGCTCAGACTGCGGAGCGGCCCACCCGCTGCCACCGGATGTAGCGGTCAACTGAGTGTATTTCAACACAAGCGCCTCTAGTGGCGACCTGGCGAGGTAGGCACATGACGTAAGCGCACTACGCGCTACAATAGGAAATATGCGGGCTCACTAGAATGAATCCCCGGGTGATTCGCAGATCTCGGCAACTCTTCAGGGAGTTCGCGGTTATCCTGGAGAGTCTTGTTCATCCGCGGACCCCGTCCCGTTTATCCGCGAATCCGCTTGGCGTTCGTTCGCGGAGGCCCTAGGGATTCTGTGGATCCTCTAGGAAATCGGCGGATCCACCGAGCTCGCAGACACTCCCTCTAACATTGACATGGAAAATGCGTCAACGATCTTTGGGGACCACTTGTACAGTGTTTAGGAGCTTGGTTCTGCAATCTTACCCACGAGTTTGTCTCTCGACTTGCAGGGCACATGACCACTGTGGTCTGCTAACGGCCGCCGCGCTGCTGCTGCTGATGGCTTCAGCTCTGGCTGGCGACTGGTGCGAGAATTTCGAGTCTGGAGCTGGAACATTCTGGGAGCAGCGCAGCTTCAGCGGACGCTGGCAGGCCAGCACCTATTCACAAGAATCAGCTTTGACCACCGCAAAGATACCAAAACCGATCACCGGCGAGGTAGGTGGACCGCGGCCTTTGGCAGTGGCTGTGGCGCATTACATTCTCATTCGGTGTGAGAAATCCGTCCGCTGAAAAGACAATGTCACAATACGTTCTTTCAAATCTATCAAGCATTTTTGAAGTAAGAGAAAAATAAGAATACTAGCCTTATAAGCAAGCATGATTACGAGCGAGCGAGCGCAGCGAGCGAAGCGAAGTCTTTTGAATATAACGGAAAATCTCAGTATGAGCGGCCCGGCCCGGCCCGGCCGCGAGTTTCCTAAGTGTGGAACTATTCATACCGTCGCCCGTTCGAGTGACGTCATCACTCGGCGCTGGCGGCTAGGTGCATGGATTGGCGGGTCCTTAAGTTGGCGAAGAGGCGGAGCCAGTTATCCTGCGTAAATATTTAGTCAGTCTTAATTTTAGCGAGTTCCCTAGCTAGAGAAAAAGTAACTTGTTTTGTTCTACGTGAATATATAGCCGGTGTTATTTCAGTTATCGTTCGTGCATTCGCCCACCTTGGAAGCATATCTCCTACGAGGTGCTTGAGTTTTGACGCTATGGTTTGTGCACTGCGTTTCGCTTCAGCATTGAGCAAATGTCTTCAGTATTACGGCTGGTGATACTGCCTATCGGCGTTGAATGATGTTTGACACCAATAGGACATAAATTAGCAGGTAGTGCGAATTTATTATTAGCAGATTTATTAGCGAGATTATTAGCAGATTTATTAGCGGACTTATTATTTATTTTATTAGCAGGTAGTGCGGAACTATAGTGCGGATAGTGAGTGACGCCATCTGGACCGATGCTGGAGATGGTAGCGCCACCTGCCGCCACTTAACTGCTCGCTACTTGTAACAGTGCCTGGCTGGTGCTTTGTGTTGATTGTTTGAAGCGTAGTGTAGTACCTTATGACGCATAATATAAGGTCACTTTGCAAAATTTGAGGAGCATGGACGAATTAATTTGTGAGACATTGACGCCTTAGCAATACATAATTGTTCCCAACACAAGCTATGCATTAGATTTTAATGTAATTGCTCAACTTCCCATAATAACACCAGGGGCGCTAGTGCCGCGCGCCGCTAGCCTATAATCGTGCAGCGATTGGTCAGCCGACTGTGAGCCATGACGTCACAGCCTGTAACGTCATCTCGGCGAAGCTTGCGCCAATTATAGACCTTAGGTATGGGCAGTTCCACACTTAGGAAACTCGCGGCCCGGCCCGGCCTGTAACGCTTTTGAGAGTCTTATATCTCAGCAACCGCTGGACCGATTAGCTTGCGGTCTTTTTCACTGGGTAGCCCCATCCCTTCTACCCCGTAATTGACTACCTTTGATACATCTCAGTGACCGTCGTGGCACGTGGCACGTGAAAAGTCAAGGGTGTTCAAGCTGTTTTGAAAAAGTAGTGATTTTGAGACGCTCATATCTCAGCAGCCGCTTGGCGACTGTCTAGCGGTAATTTTTGTAGGGTAGCTGCATCCCTTCTACCAAAGGTCGGATACTCTTGATCTATGTGAGTGACCCCCACTGCACGTGCAAAATAAAAAAGAAGAGGTGCCAAATTTGTTCCCATTTCAATAACTCGGTAATTACTGGGGCGATTTCGCTGAAACTTGGTATACAGGTAGGCACCCACCAGGCAATGCATTCCCACGTGTTGCGGTTAGGGTGCTACTGCACGTGCGCACGTGCAGGGGGCGCCTCCAGATCTCGAGAACGGCTGGGCCGATTGCGCTCAAATTTGGTAGGTACACGGTTGGGGACCGGTTAGTAGGATGCCGTGCAAAAGTCAGTTTGGACCCCGTTTGCACGTGCGCACGTGCAGAATGCCGCTTCCAGATCTCAGGAGCGGCTGGGCCGATTGCGTCCAAATTTGGCACACCGCTAGCGACCGGTTAGAAGGGTGCTTTGCACAAGCCCGTTGGAAGTACCCTCTCGCCCTTCCGCACGTGCAGAGTTCACTATCTCGCTCGCTCGTTCTTCGCCCTTAGGGCGTTTTACTGGTTGTCACACATGGTTACGAGCAGTGCTGCGGAGTCGATGATTTTTTTGGTGACTCTGATTCCGACTCCGACTATGGTTTTAAAAATCGGCTCCGACTCCGACTCCAGCTCCGACTCCGGACGTTTCTCTCAAAATCCATTTCATGATAATAAGTTCATAGTGGATGTTTTTATTTTGTCTGGAAGGATCCTTTGCGCATTCCAAAGCCTTGCATGGAAAATACAAAATATGCTAAGTACATAGCATGCGGAATTTAAAACAGGTTCAGGTGAATCCACCGTCTTCTGCTTCTTTCGCTGAAAACGTTCGTCCAAAACAGGAATGTTTTTTTTTTCGACAACCACTGCTTTCGAAAGTTCAACGAGCGCAGTACCTGGGGCATTGCACGATAGATCGTACCATTTTTTTTTTCCAATTTGACACCCTCATCTCTCGGAATTTGACTAGAATTGGTCTCAGGGGTAATCAGGGGCTCTGAATCCACCTGTAACAATTTCAGGCTTATCAGATGAGTAATTTTTGAGGTATGGTGTATAACATTTTTTGGATCTTGCTCTGCAGCGCTAAGTTTGGCGGGCTGTAACTCTAAGACGGATTATTCAAATGCCAAATGTTATATAACATTGAACTTGCAATGAAACAGAGATTAATATGTATTTTTGAAATTTCGAAAAATACGCTATTTTTGATATATGACATATCGAGTTTTCTTTTTTTTGTATTTTTTTGACTCTGGGACCAATTTTTTTTTGAATTTTTATTTCTTTAAAAAAATATTTGGCTTATTGTTAAGAAGTATGCAAAAAATTAGGAAGGTGTTCTTTCTATAAATGTATTTATTTTACGTCACGATAACGGTTTCGAATAGTGATTTCGGGAGGGGAGCTTACAAATGGCGTGGTAAAGCTGCCTAGTGACATCACGGGTTACTGAAATTTCAATTGAAGTCTGAGTCATCTGAAAAAAGTGAAAAGAGGGTTCATCCAACCCTCTTTCCTATAAGCGCGAGGGTGAAAAAGGCTGTTTGGTTCTGACATTGTTTTGGACGCCAATGACCATAGCTGTCTGAGATGAAAGTTACAGGACGCATACATGGTGTCCTCCAGAGGTCTCACAACTTGTATATCTGGGAATTTTTAAAGGTTACATGAGGTCAGGTCGGTCACGTGACATCACTATTATAAATCAATGGGGAAATATAAAAACTGTTATTTTGGCGCCGAGAATGATCTAAAACTACCTCACGTACATGGTATCATGATTTCATGCACTCCTTGCGAAGTCCAATGCTTCACTTTTGCATTGTTAACCTTGCGTGACGTCATTTATGACGTCATTAGGTTCGTACGAGTTTTTCGTCAATAACTCCCGACTCAATGGAGCTAGAGAGTCGGGAAAGCCATCAATGGACTAAGGAAGACCTTCCGAATCGAATGATATGCCATATGATAGGGTAGTGTGGGGTATTTTGAACATATTTTTACGTCTTCTCCGTTGTACCAAATTCCAGCTCAACCCTGGATGAAGGAAAACTGTTTCAGTAGCGCATGTGTCACTTGCTTTCACCATGCAAGCCTCATTTTTGGACGAGCCGAGCATACCTTGAATAGCATAGCATCACTTCTCCACCAAGTCACGGTGTGTTCAAATTGCCCAACCGTGGGGTAATTTGAACATACTGTCTTTACCTGCCATAAAAAAGATAGTCTCGCCAGCACCGATGTTGTTTGACGCATAAACAAATAGGCAGAGCAATTCTAAAAATAGCATCATTTGAAAAATCAACACAACAACAAAAATAAGAGTTGCAGAGTATCAATATCTGCACGCTGCACACCGGTCAGTTGACAGAATTCGCCTCTCTTCAATTAACAGAACGTCTATCATCTCCGTTCGATAAGAACTCTACCAAACCTTACTTCATCTGTTATAGTGGTGCCAATCGGAACCTGGACATTCGGAGTTCCGATTCTTTATAATGTCTAATTCAGAATTGATTGCACAAAGGTATAGAAGTCTGGACAACGTTGGACGATGGCCTGCCACACTTAAGCATTTTTATCAAGTAATCGTGCGTAACATTGATTGGCGAATGGAAAGCTTGTTAAGCTCTCAATATAATGAACACTTTTCGGCTGGTAAAATTACATGATAAGCAATATAAATGACGGTTTTGAGTGTTGATAGCTGCATAATTTTCGGACATATTTGGACAAATAGTTGACTTTAACATTTTTGGACGGAAAATCAACGAAAATGCCAGACATTAGACGGATATTAGACGTAAATTTTATAAAACTGGCATCACTTATCTGCTACTGCTTTGGGTCAAAAATATTGGCAAAAAAAAACTGGGAGCGCTGTTTTTTCGGAGCTATCCCTGTCTTCATTGAAATTCTCACACTATGTTCAAATTACCCCACGCAAAAAGTTATTTTGCAATTTTTAAAAACAGGGTTCAAAAGCAAATTTCTTGGATTGAAGGCACTGATTAGGTCATTGTACAACAAAAGCCGTTGCGTATTAGGCGCTAGCAATGCACGACTTTGCGCTGCAATGAAGTTGCAATGACGTGTTGTTACGCGTTTATCCTTGCGAAATTGATTTTTTACACTGTGCGTCAACATCTTCATTCCCTGAAACTTTAAACCCCGTTCATATGATAGCCCTTTTAGTTACGATAATTTCTCTCATTGGTCTTATTGTCATGCCACTTATGGATTTTCCGTAATTTTGTGTTATTCACACTATGTTCAAATTGCCCCACATGTTCAAATTACCCCACCCTACCCTACCCTTTGCCCAGCTTCGTGACCTGAGGGGCTCTGACCTGACCTTGACCCGAGGTCAACTACTTAAGTTGACCTCACCCTAGCAAAAAGTATACCGTTCGATGCACCTGAGCTAGGCGAACACAATGATGCCAAAATTGCGGCTCTGCGGCCATTTTTTGCAAAGTTATTTACTAAAAACCGAACCCGTAATTTCAGTCACTTGACCTG